GTTTTGTATTAAGACAAAGAAAATCTTTTATAAAATCTCATCATAAAGAATCTGATAAAAAACCTTCAAAAAATGACAATCAATCATCTAATGGCACAACAAAATTACCTCAACAAATACCTCCTATACTGCCAGTCCTAGAACCTTCACAACCAATATCTCATGAATTGCCACAAGAATATTTTCCTGAAGACTTTGAAGATGAATTTGATGATGATGATTATGACAATAACATTGACGACGATCAACGATCTGATACACATACAACACCTGAATTGACGATAGATGATTTGTATCATTTGATGTTAAATATGCAAAAGGGATTTCAATTACAAATCAAAGAATTAACCAAGCAGGTGAAGGAGATCAAAAAAGATATGAAAAAAATGAAGAGTGGTGAAGATGGCGACGAAGATGATGGTGAGGAAGATCAGAATGTTGAAATAGATGATGATGATGATGATGATGATGATGATGATGATGTTAATGAATATGAGTATCAGTATGATGGAACTGGCAGAAGAATTGGTGTTCGAATCGCGTCACGTAATTCTTATTCACGTAATACAATTTCACGTAATACAATTTCTCGTAATTCAAATTATAATACTGGTGCTGGTGCTGGTGTTGGTGTTGGTGCTGGTGTTGGTGCTGGTGTTGGTGCTGGTGCTGGTTTAGGAATTAGTAGTGCAAGTAGTAGTCTGGGAAGAAGAGGAGGAGGAAGAAGATTGGCGATGATGAAGAAGGCTGTAGCGGCTGACCAGGACGATGATGACGATGATGATCTGGAATATTTAATGTCAAAAAGGAGTGGCACTGCAACTAGTTTTAGAAGTAATATATAGCACAACCGGAAAATAATGAAAATAGTAGTTGAAAAAACCATTTTATAAATATACACATGTATTTTAGAGTTAGATTAAAAAAAAAGTTAGTTTTTAAAAAAAATTTATTAAATTTTTTTTTTTTTGTATATTTTTTCGCTTTTTTTTTGATATAAAATAGACAACAGACATTTATTAATAATCAATAGTTTAAAAAGAAAAAAAAAAAAAAATTTAATAATAAAAAAAATATAGTAATATAATTTAATAAATAGAAGTTTTTTTAGAAATTTCTCAATCCACTAAACGTGAAATGGAAATTATTTTTTTTATGAATGAATGGCTGGATGAATAAAATCTTAACCTTAATATTTAATTAATCCATGTCAATTAATTAACGCTAACGTTAATTGAAGCTTGTCTTACAAACACATATTAACATTGTCATATAAATAAATAAATAGGTCAATTAGATCAAATGTTTTATTTATAAACAAGAAAATAACATTAATTAATTGTGTATAACAACCAGGGCTGACCGCGTAACTCAAGTGAGCATTTGACTAAACTGACTACTCAACTGTATATTTATTTGCCATATTAACACGTTAAGTCAAGTTTTATCAAGTTTTGTCAAGTAAATCATTACTTAATTCGGATTTACGCCGCTGCTTGCCCTTGATAAATTAAGAATTTTATTATGAATATTTTTTTTTGGCAGTTTTAGAGCTTAAAAAACTACCAATATATTATTAAAATTCTTTGTGTTCGCATTGCCAATATTAATATGACAAATACATGCAAAGAAATTAATTTGAAATAAATAAATCTTTTTCTTTACTATAAGACAAAATTTTTGTTTAATGTATTAGAAATTCTGTATAATAATTCTATTTGGATTTGCATTAGGAACAACGTAAAAAAAAAAAAACACCACAAACAACCTCGAGCTCAATAGACAAATCGACCATAGATAGTCCATAGTTATGATATGTGCTTGATAGACATTCATAGCTTTAGGCTTTGAGTTTTATTAACTGCTTGATAAACATTCATAATCCACCCCATGTTTGATGAAAGTTAATTTTGTGGATTGTCGAATGGAATTTCCCTTGGCTTTTTTTTACTTTATAAACCAAAAAATTGATGAAATAATTAATGAAATAGAGCCTCGAAAAGCCAAATTAAAAAACGTAAATCAAGCAATCTAATTAGCAATCGAAAATATTTGGAAGGCATTGAAAGATTTTAAACATTATTTGATCAAAAAGCTGAGCAAGACTCGGATTTTTCATTTTTAACGAAATTATAGTTGAAATTTATGAATTAACTAAAGAGAATAAATAAAGGAAATGCTTGCTTTCACCATCAATGAATTTTACCAAAGAAAAATCTCGTTCTAAGAAAAGAACAATAGATGTAATTAGGTTGGGTTAACAAGAGAAAAAAACAAAAGATAATGAATGATATTAATCATAATAATAATAATATAAAGAAATAACGAAAGTAGAATAGAGATTTTTGCCAGAATGGCTAAAGAATAGGTGATTTTAAGAAAAATTGCCTCAAAATTGAAATGACAAAACCAATTCCGAACTTGGATTTACTAGTAACCATAGTTATGTCCAAAATTATTTAAACTCTTTAATATAAGATAGATCGAATAGCATAATTATTTTATGCTCATTCATTCGTATAAAGGATATCGTAAAGCCAAAGTGATTGCCAGAATTGTTTTCGGGAAAAGATAATTTCGGCTAACACCTAAGTTCCGAGTATTTTCCTCCCATGCAATTGCTCCAGCGGTTTTTTATCATTATATTATTAATGTGCACCTTTCTACATATCAGTTAAAAATCATTTCTCTTTTTTCGTTGTTTGATCCTTTCTTTCCTTGTGTGTGACATACCTTTGTCTCGGTTGTGAATCAAAATCAAATTAAATTTTGGGGTGGGGTGTTTGGATACAAAATTCTGATTGGCTGATTGAATTTCACGCGCGTGAATTTTACATTTGTTCTCCATATATGTAATAAGACGATATGAAAATAAACCTTTTAAGTAAAATAAATGATTGTTGAATTATTTGAGATAGAAATAGGATCGTTTATTGTATGCAATTGCAAGTCATGGGATTCCTTAAAATAGGATTAAATCATATTGAACTTATTTAATAAAATATTCTTATGCAAATGACCTAAACACTTAAACATACTAAAGATTTCAACAGACTTTTTTAACAAAAAACCTGAATGCAGTCGGATCTAAAGATTTTGATTGTTCAGATAATAGAAGTCTCTCTCTCCCATCGAAAATCCAGAGCAATCCGACACCCCTCTGAATTTCCAATTGCATCATATCTTCCAGGGTGAGAAAATCGGATCAACCTCTTTTTTTTAGAAAAATAATTATAGTGATTTAATATTATTATCAATAGTAAAGGCTCTCTCTGTCTGTCCTTGAATCACTCTAATACAGTCCCCCAAAAAAGTAATGGCGGTGGGATTATTATGCAAAATTTATCATAATAATATTTTATTTTATTTAACCAAAATATATAAATAATAGTAATGAATAACTTGTTAAAAGATTATTATTAAAAAATCGAAATTCATAAAGTTTTAATATAGAGATGTTTTTTTATCTTTAAAATTGTTGACAACTTTTAAAGTTTGTTTTCTTAATAACTAGTAATTGGATTTTAATCATTTTGACTTTATTGAATTCAGCTTAACTAGGTGAACATTTTGATAGTTGTTTTATTATAATACAACTGATGTTTGTCAAGTTATTAAAAATTTTGACCTTTTTTTAAAAAATTAAAGCAGTACTTGGTAAAATTAATTATTTAAAAATTACATTCAAATTTGAATTAATATAGAATGAAAATTCATTATATTCTAATCTTTCGAAAATATAATCTTTTACTTTTAAATTTTTTAAAAATAATTTTTTTTTTTATAATTGTTATATAAAAAATTTTTTAATAATAAAAAAACACCCCGCCATTACTTTTTTGGGGACTGTATCTTATAAAGTTAGCAAGGTATAACTTTTTTATTAATATTCAAAGGAAATAAAAAATCATAGGCTAGTCGTTGACCATTTATCAAACCATAATTGTTACCTACCTTCTTTTAAAAATTGCAAAGGAGATTTAAAACATCATTTTCTGGCTTGGAGAGTTATCCTTTGGTAAATTTTCCATTAACCAATCAATGTTTGCCATCATTTATTATCTCTTCGAAACAACCAATAGGCTACTAGGCAGTGTTAACATTCAATTGACGATTCATCTATCTGAAACTCCGAAAACTATACAGGTTACTGCCGCAGCTAGATCAAATTATAAAAAATTACTAATGAATGAAAAAATAAAAAAGGGTTAATTATATTATTTAAACAGTTTCAAAAAATTTTTTAATGTTAATGCCAGATAATTAAGGTCAAATTTATGTTAAACATAATTTTGGGGAATTTTTGTAACTGACTGACCTATCAATATAGTTTAGGGGTCCTACTTCTGTTCTCAGAAAACAACAAAATGTACAATCATTTATTATTATTAGGAATTTCATACCTTATGAGATTACTAAAGAATCATGAATAATAAAGATGTGATATCCTAACTAATAAACTAACTCATGGACAAGGGCAGTTGAAAAAGTTCCTAACCCGCCATCAAGCACTAACTATCAAGAGAATATCAAAAATGGGCATCACCTTTGTTAAAAAATAAAAAATACGAAGTCTCCAAAGAGCAAAACACACACATCAATATATAATGTGAAATGTCAAATTATTTATTATTTGGAACCACTTGCTACTTACTAACCATAATAATAAATAATGAGTGGAAAAGCGTTTAGAAAAAATTCGATCAATTCGAAAAAGGAAAGAGGGAAATATTTTAAGTTTATAAAATATTATATTTGAGATAATTAAAATCATATAACTCAAGACATCAAACCAGATCTAAAAGATTAATTCGCAATTCGCAATTTGTGATAATAAAATGCAATCAATAGTCAGAATCCTGAATCGGTTTATAATTATGGAAATTTAAGATGACAAAATGTCCCACTTTAATTGTAAAATCTTGTTGCAGTAGGCGAATAAAGCCACATTCACATTATGTGACTAAATGTAAGAGAATGGGGAGTAAAGGTGAGATACAACTAAATTGGTTTACACCTATTGAAGCATTTGTAATTTATTTAACATATATTACTATTATATTTAAAATATATTGAAAGATAATATAACAGTTGAACAGACACAAGGTTTTGAATAATATAATAGAATCATTCATTCAAAAAAAATTTTATTGGAAATATGATAATTATATCAGAATATTCTACTACTATTATTAAAGAGTACGCATATAATACAACATTGCATTAATTATTTTTTTTCTTTTCCAAAAAATCTATAGTAAAATAAGAATTGTTACGTGACTAATTATTATATTATTATTATTATTATTATTATTATTATTATTTTAATTATTTGTATTGGATACACTGATTAAAAAATCAAATTTGACTTGCAGTAAATGCTTGTTAAGATGTACTGTGTATGCAATATTGCATTAATTAAATTTTTTTCTTTTCCAAAAAAAAATGAATTTATGATACAGTGGTGAACAAGAAAGAATGTTACGCAACCTATTATTATTAAATTTTTCTTTGCATATTATCATTATGATTATTTAAAAATTTATTTTTATTTAACAATAAATAGCTTTTATATGCTTTTCTCTATATAAGTGAAATAATTAATTTCATTAATATTGCATTTTTCTACCCGTAATCCCGAACCGGTTTTAAGGTTGTGCTTTATTATTATTATTATACAATGAAAATCATATTATGCATGTGTGATATTGTGTTAATGGGACATAAAGTTATGTGATGTAAATTTTTATATGCAAGTATAATAAACAAAGACGACCTGCAACAAGTATTTTTTTAAAATATTGATAATCCTTTATGTTTAAAGCAGATGACAGAAACGTCTTGAGACGTTTGTTCAGAGACACGCATACACGAACAATAATTTAAAAACATTAACAATTAAAAAATATTTTTACTAATAATTATTTTCTTTTGATCCAGAAATTTGTGTGTAGAATTATTATAACCTCAAAAGGATATGGAATTTGCTTCATAATTTTGTGACTGAATTAGGATGGAGATATTTAATAGTTGATGATTATGACAACGATAATCACAAGTGAATCAAAAAAACTTGAATTTTGGAATTGTACTTGTTCCAAATATTTTTATCAATGTGAATTCATTTCAACGAAAATTTCTAATAATATGTTCCAAGTTTTTTATTTCTTTTCTTAACCAATTAAATATAATGATTCAATCAAACATCAACATATCTCCCACACCTATTTTGACGGTTTGTTTTTGAACAATGTTGACACTTGATGCGTATTCTTAAACTTGCAAAGGACAATTGCATTTCCCAAGTAATAACAATACTACAGACCATGCGCGTAGAATAAAACTTTAAGGAACCAATTTTGTTAAACATCCTGGAAAGTGAAAATATGGCAGTGCTGGAAAATAAACCATTGATATTATTATTAAATTTTAACCCGAGCCTCCTTTCCGTGTTCCATTGCGTTGTGATCCAAGTGGTATTGGAAAATTTTTAGTGTTCGAGTTTCTGCTTGGTTCCTTCCTGATAGCATACGATTGCAAATTGTAGAAATCCTTAAAAACCATTTCTAAAAACAAAATGACTAATATTAAATCTAACATAATGTGCTAAGATGCCAGCTTTAGTAGAACTATCCTTCCCATGCATATGCAAATTCTCCATTCGTTGCCCATTTTGGGCACCCCAGGGCTAATAATTTTGTGCGTGAATTTGAAAACTGCGAGAATTTAATTCACAAATTCACACGCATGGAATATTCAAATTAGCCAATCAGAATTTTGCATCCAAATGCCCACCCCAAAATTTTATTGATTTTGACTCATAACAACGTCGTTTCTTGTTAATTTGTCGAAACAAGCAATGATTGATTAGTGAATCATGAAATTGGTTTACTTGCCAACCAACACTTAACGATGTTTACAACTAAGGATACCGACTCCAAATTTTGGTGATGGTTACAATCTAATTGCGGCCAGTTTTTTTTAATTTCCTTATTTATAATGCATGTATTCCTGCATTTTTTTCATAGGGAATCATATGTAGTGATATAAATTCTATAATAAACATATGATTGTTTCAAAAAGATAAAAAGAATCAATTGAAACATAAAATATAATAATTGGGATTATTTCTTTCAAAAAAACAGCTCTTTTTTATTATTATTCTTTGTTTTTTTTCTAGCATAAAAAATAAAATAATAATGATAATAATAATGCATTAAAATTTTTTTTTGCCTTCAAAGAAGACATTATATCCATTATTAATTTACAAAGAAAATAACAAAACCAAATAGTCACATTATTTTCACATTGAACGTAATTTTAAACCCTTCTTGGAGAGAATTAAACTCTATTTCTTAATATTCAATGTCATTTGTGTCTAAAAAAAAAAAATAGAACCCAAAAGGAAAACAACAAAAACTACTTTCAAGATTTCCCTCAACCCGAAATTATTTCTATTATTTATATAACAAAAATAATCATACTATTAATTCCAATTATAATATCAGTAAAATAACAATAAATATAAAATGGAAACTGCTTTAATAAATGAAGGAACACCAAAAAATCGAATAAAAAGTCGAAGGGCAAAGAATCTATTATGTATGCTTTATTACTATTAGAACAACATTTTTTGAGTTAATTAATTTTATATTAAGACTGTATTAAATTTTGACGTTTATACTTATTCTTAGAAATCAAGTTTTCTTTCCTCTTCACACACAAATATGTTATATGACTATTACCTTCGACGAGATTTTTAATGTAATAAATTTAAACCATTATTGACAAAACAAATGATGAATACAAACATGGTAATATCCAAAACATCCATTGGTAATGAGTTTAATTTGGAAATGGGAAATATACAATGAATCGAATTCATAAAAATTTGTCGAAGAACGCTCATGTATGTAAGGAACAAAACAAGTCGGATTTTAAAATTATTTGATTCAAATCGGATTTTTAAACTTAAATTTAAAGAATAAGACAAACAGAGTCAAACCTTATTTCAAGGAATCTATGGGATATATAGTAAATTGCATTTGTTTCAACGAAAGTAAAAATTTTATTGTTAATTATAACAAGATTCACTAAAACAATGAATTTTTCATTTGATTAAATATTAAATATTTCTTTCTTAGATAATTTTTCTTTTTTGTAATAATGCAATGTTGATATTGTGATGGCAATTATTAACGATCAATCAAAACATCTAATCTTCAAGCAACTGTCGATAAATCATTTTTTAGCGATGTTTCCATTTATCAAGGTCTGCTACTAATGTTTATTAATTTGTTCATTTTGCATTTTTAGATATTTCATATTGCATCAACATTACAGGATTCAATAGTATCATATAATATAATATATGAAGTGAGTAGACAACAGGCACACCTGAGAAATTCTTCAATATATAAAATATCATATTATTACATTGATATTTTTAATTATCATCAATATATGGATTGATTATGATGCTATTTGTGACGGATATGGGAATATACAGAAAGTAAACTTCAACCAAAAGTTGCATTAAAATTCTCATTTTGCAGGCTGCGAACATGAATTTTCAATTTATTGTGGCTTTACAACAGAAAAAAAGGGTTGGATGAAAACTCAGATAAAGAAATATATTTTAATAGAAACTAATAATGTTGAAGGATACATTAAAATAGAAATAGAGACTGATTTATCTCATGAATTTTGCAATTCACGTACATAATTAAATTAGTCAATCAGAAGGAATTTCGCACACCCTATATTTAATTATACAACTCCTGAGTGAATCAGTTTGCTCATTTAATGGTGATAATGATTGCAATTCAATAACTTTTTTTATCATTTACTCTTTTTTCTTGTCATAATAATAATGGGTAACTGACAAAAGTTTTAAGTTTTGTATCAGATGGAAGATATTTATTGAATTAACAATTTCGTATGAACACCCCAAAGGTAAGTATAACTTATCAATATATCATATTATTGTATATTTGCAAATAAATGTGGTTTTGGGGCATTTTTTTAAAAAAAAATTTGATAAATTATTAATTGTTGTCAACTAGCATTATTATTATGATTAAGATATAAAATTGAATTCATGCAAATTTAATTAACACAACTATAGGTAATTGAATCAGAACAGCTCAGCTGATTAAGTCAACATAAATTATTTCCTTAGCATCATTTTTATTCACTCCCAATCTCCCAAATCAAGCCATTTAAACATATGATACAATAACTAAATATGAAATAAAAGGGAAAGAGGTTTGTTTGATTTATAATTTGAGAAATACGAGCTTATAATAAGTTGGGATTACTTTATAAAATATGAATTTTGTATTTCAGAAAAAATCTTCCAGCCCTGAAATAAGATCATCATAATCTAGTCTACTTGCTTTTTGATATAAAGTGTTCCATTGATTAGAGGTGGCATTTTCTTTGCATTTGAAATAATAACCTCATTCTTACTAATCCATTTTTCTTTAAAAGATAATCTTTCAAGGGTTGGACAATCGAGCATTAAATAGAACATGCATACAATACTAATTAGATCAAATTGACAATCATAAATAAATTCATTTTTTTCTTCAATAAGGTTTTGAAGGATATCATCTGCTGCCACCTCTAGACCCCTGCAAAATAGTTTAATTCATTAATAAAAACACTATAGCCCCACTGTTTGCATCCCATAATAAATTGGATTTTCTAAGATCCCAATATAATATTCCTAAGTCATGAACCCTTTTTATAGTTTTGACAAGGGGAGAGATATCTTTTTTTTGTAAATTGTTAACTTTTCCATATAAAGGCATCACAATAGAGATTGGATTTGAAAATAAAATGGGAGGGACATTTGAAGAGTTCAAGGTTTCTAGCTTTTTCAAATGTTCACTTCCTTTTCAATATTATCTTCATACTTTAAAATTTTGACTGCAACAATAATGCTATCATGTGATTCTCCACTAAAAACATGACATGTCCTCCCATGACCAATACATTTCTTCAATGTAACACCACTACCATGTTCTTCATAGAATGATTGCTGTTTAATCCAATCTAGTTGTTCACTTTTTTGCACAAGTAGAGTAGCAAAACAATTCCATCCTTGATTGCCATATTTAAGTAATTCTTTTTTAGTGAGCTCATATTTAAACTTGTTAGTGAAATCATCTGAGAATATTGTTGACCTTTGAACCTTAATAAACATAATATCATAGCAATCTGTTAGAACACCATATATGAAAGATCTTTGAGGTTGGAGTTGAAGTGCTTTTTCAGCAAATGCTGCAATATGTCCTATTTCCTCATTTCTAAAATCATTTCTGTGTTTAGTTTTCAACTCCAAAACTATTTCAACATTGAGTGGATCAAAAAGACAAACCCTTCCGAATAAAAACACATCTGGTTTTTGTGAATTAAGGAGACTAACATTATGGGATTAATAAGCATAAAGATCAACATCCAAATGTTTAATCAATCCCTTGCATTGTTTCATAAAAAATTGCTGATATAAATTTTCTTCATCATCTGGATCTGGCGAATTCAAAAACTTGCCTTTTCTATGATTGCTCATATCCAAATTAACTAATCTCTCAAATGGAAACTCAATAAACTTACCATTATCTCTAATAAATTTGCCTTTCTTTGCTTCTGTATTAATAGCCACAAAAAATGTTAGAAAAGAAATATATCAATATTCAAATATTCATATCAAATATTCATATTTTTATATTATACTTATTAACAACTAATCAAAACATATGGTATCCTTGAAATGAATATTCAAATACTTACTAGGACATGTCTTCCATTCCTCAATAGAAAGTTTTACTTTTTTAATTCTATTAAAATATTCATCTACATGTCTTTTCTTATCATACTCTTGTCTTTTCTTAACCTCTTCAATCCCTTTTTTGATAACACTAGTATCTAAATTATACAAGAATGGTGGTTCAATAGTTGAATAGATGGATATTTAATTAAAAATAAATAAAGAAACGAAATGAAAAATAATTTTTTGTATATTTTTTTATGCAATTTGTTCATTACATTTTTCTTTATTAAATTTAGATAATTCCTTTTGTAAGAATATTGTCTGGTTTCTCCAATCCTCCTCTTTTTTTTCAACCTCTCTTCTTTATCTTTTAAGTGACCAAACTCTCCTTCATGTCTTTCTACCTCTCCTCTCCACAACTCCTTCAACCTCTGCCCCTCCCACCCTTCCGTAAATGTTTCAACTCTTTCTCGGCTTCTTCTAAGTTTCAAGTGCAATGTTTTTATCTTTTTCGATTTTTTCGGAAGTTGCCATTTTTTTTAAAAAAAAAGATGATAAAATTACAATTAATTGTTTCTTATGTATAATTTCGACCAATAATAAATTAATTGCACATGACTTGGAATTTTTTTTTTTAATTCAACAAGCCTACAACTGGGAGCGCAATGGGAGCTTCTGCTACACGAGAACAAAAATTCATTTATTTTAAGTTGGATTTGGATTGCGTCTTCTTTGTCTCAAAAAAAAAAAAAAAATGACATCACTCAGGCCAAGATAATAGTCTAATTTAAATATGAATTCATTTCAACGAAAATTTCTAATAATAAGTCCCAAATTTTTTGTTTCTTTTTTTTAATCTATTAAATATAATGATTCAATCAAACACCAAAAAATCTCTCACACCTACTTTGATGGTTTGTTTTTAGCAATGGTGGGCGACACTCGTAAAGGATAATTGCATCTCCCAAGTAATAACAATACTATAGATCATGCGTGCAGAATAAAACTTTAGGGGACCAATTTTGACAAACGTCTTGGAAAGTGAAAATATGGCAGTGCTGGAAAATAAATCATTGATATTATTGTTGAATTATAATCCGAGCCTCCTTTCCGTGTTCCATTGCGTTGTGATCCGAGTGGTATTGGAAAATTTTTAGTGTTCGAGTTTCTACTTGGTTCCCTTCCTGATTGTATACGATTGCAAATTGTAGAGCCATTTCTAAAAACAAAATGACTAATATTAAATCTAACGTAATGTGCTAAGATGCCAGATTTAGTAGAACTATCCTTTCCATGCATATGTAAGTTTTCCATTCGTTGCACCCCAGGGACGAAATTATTAGAAACCTAATTAATTTTGTGGTGAATTTGAAAACTGCGAGAATTTAATTCACAAAATTTTATTGATTTTGACTCATAATAATAACAACGTTTCTTGTTAATTTGTAGAAACAAGCAATGATTGATTAGGGGAATCATGAAATTAGTTTAATATTGTTTACAACTAAGGATACCGACTCTAAATTTTGGCCAGTTTTTTTAATTTCCTTATTTATAACGCATGTATTCCTGCATTTTTTCATATGTAATGATATAAATTATATAATAAACATATGATTGTTTCAAGAATAAATTAAAACATAAAATAATAAATGGGATTATTTCTTTTAAAAAATAACTCTCTTTATTATTATTCTTTGTTTCTTTTTTCTAACATAAAAAATAAAATAAAAATGATAATAATAATGCATTAAAATTTTTTTTGCCTTCAAAGAAGACATTATATCCATTATTAATTTACAAAGAAAATAACTACAGATTACAAAACCAAATAGTCACATTATTTTCACATTGAACGTAATTTTAAACCCTTCTTGGAGAGAAACCCAAAAAGAAAACAACAAAAACTACTTTCAAAGATTTCCCTTAACCCGAAATTATTTCTATTATTAATATAACAAAAATAATCCTAATATCAATCCCAATTATAATATCAGTGAATATAACAATAAATATAAATTGGAAACTACTCTAAGAAATGAAGGAACACCAAAAGATCGAATAAAAAGTCGAAGGGCAAAAGAATCTATTATGTATGCTTTACTACTACCTGAACAACATTTTTTGAGTTAATTTATATTAAGGCTGTATTAAATTTTGACATTTATATTTATTCTTAGAGATCAAGTTTCTTTCCTCTTCAACGAAATTTTTAATGTAATAAATTTAAACCATTATTAACAAAACAAATGATGGATGTAAACATGATAATATCCAAAACATCCATTGGCAATGAGTTTGACTTGGAAATGGAAAATATACAAGAATATTAATAAATTAGTGACGATGAATCAAATTTCATAAAAATTTGTTGATGAAATAAAAGATAACACTTGTGTATGTAGGGAACAAAACAAGTCGGATTTCAAAATGATTTGATTCGAATTAGAGGCCTGCAACGGCGGGTCCCGCAATTTTACCCAGACCATACCCGGATTGCGGTACGGGTTTGGACGGCTGTAGTATATTTTTATTGGGTACGGCATTCACTATGGTTGGCTCGGTCTAAAGACCTCCTATTTCTGCGCCACGTGGCCAAATTTCAAAAATAGCAATTTTGTAATTTGT